CGCGCCCCCACACTTGCTCCAAACCAAGTTAAGAAAATCGACTCGATCTAACTTACGACAGTTCTCCTCGTCCGATCCATCCTTGCAGTCCGTGTCTCCGTCACAGTACCAGTGCTCGGCGATACAGCTGCCGTCCGTGCAGCGGAACTCCTTGTCGGAACATTTACGCATGTCTGAGATAGATTCAAAGGAACAAAATGAAAAGTCATATTTATGCACATTCTGTGTGACTGAATGTGCGCCTTCATGCTGGTGTTCATGTATCTAGTATACCCACCACATTGTTCATCGCTGTTGTCCCCACAGTCATTGTCACCGTCACAGTGCCACAGGCTGCGGATACAGTAACCATTTTGGCAGTGGAACTCATCCTCCTCACATTCTCTGGGAGCTGCAGAAACAAAAAAAGAAACAAAAAATGACAGATAGATGTTAGCGAGTACAAATAAATTAGGGCGCAAAGAGAGCAAAGACAACAAACTTTACAAGACTGGGATAAGACGCAGCCATTCCTGAGCTGTGCTGACACGACATCCACAGCTGCACTGACACGAGGGGAAACGGTGACCTTTCATGTCAGGCTCAGAGCTGAGGAGAAAAAAAGTGATTTTTCTCTCTCTATCCGTAAACAAGCCGAAACTCTCCCGAGGGTGAAGGTTTGAAGCTCAAAGACTCACACACTGAATATCCTGTGGTTCAATCTCAAAACAAAAATCATCTGACCGACAGCTACTGCTGCACGGTGAGGAGGATGGTTCAAGGAAATCATTGAGAGTGTGTGTGTGTGTGTGTGTGTGTGTGTGTGTGGTGTGTGTGTACAGCTGCCACAGTCACTGATCAGAGGGAAAACATGTGGTATAAAAATACCTTCTTTCATACAGCACTTTCCAAGCTGTGTAACAAATGTTTTCCAAAGACAAATCAAACTAAAAAACCATAATTGGCAGCTGTAGAGATGATGGTGATTGGTCCTTCAGGAAACAAAGGCTGTGGTGAGTTGAAATTAACGTTGGTTACAACGCATGACAGAAAAGTGACAAGCCAAGCTTCCAATGTGGAAAAAAAGGAAAAGAAATCTCTACAAATACCAAACCACAACTTCAGTATAATCCTTGTTTCCAGAGTCTCGCTGTATGCTTGGCGTGTTCTGAATACTCGGCTCAACCAGACAGGGCGCTGAAGACATGACAGCCATTCAAAATCTTCAGCAGGTGTTTATAGTTCAACCGTAAAGTTCTGCAAACTGCGACTGAAGTGGTTGGTCAGCAGTTTCTGACCAACCTTCTTCTTCCAGGTTAATTTACTCCATCCCACAGCCGGTTGTAGAGAGAAGCTATTAACTCACAGAAACTCGATAATGAAGCACTCTGCTGTGTCCTAAAAAACATGTAAATATAACCCACTTATAACCTTTCAGTTCAGGTGAAGCCTGTGCAAAGATACACATTACATAAGTGAGCCGTGTGCACATGTTACGCGTTTAATAATGCTAAATATCTTTGTAAAAATCTTCTTTTTGTACATTCGCTGCTGAAAGATTTCTGTTTTGTGTTAGTCATGATTCTGCATTGTCTTTCTAAAACTAATATGTGTCCCTAGTCAGTCTACAAACCGCCCAATTAGCATAAAGGTCCATCCCCTCAGTCTTTTGCCTGCTCCACTTTTCAGAAAATGTGTGCTCAAACAGGCCGTTTGAGATTTTCCCTTCATGACATCACAAAGGGCAGTAACTCCTCCCCCCAGGTGGGTGACACTCCCACAGCTAGGTGATTGTTCTGCCCTCTGAGTCTGCCTTCTTACCGTAAACAAAAGGACACGGAGCAAGAAAGCCCAAGCCACCCAAGCCCTTCCAGAGAGGGGGCGTGGTCAGACACAGCTCATTTACATTTAAAGGTACAGACACAAAAACAGCCTGTTCTGAGCAGGGCTGAAATAGAGGGGTTTATAGGCATGATCAAATACAGGATCAGAGTGGATTTAGAACCAGAAACATTTCTTGGGGAGCTCTGAGACTTATTTAAACGGGTTGAAAGGAGAATACATTTCACAAACCTGTGACAATAAAATAATACATGAACCACTGACTAAGTATGTACATGCTTTAACATTAAAAGTGTACAGGTCCAAGCTCTCCTGCTCAGGTCGTTTTCTTAACAAATCTCCTGTCCCATTCATGTAAACTAGTTTGGATTCAGGACAGTTTTAATCCACTAAAAACATCAACATCATCATCACCAGCCTGTTTCACTGTCTGTCTTAAATAAACTGGCTGCTGTTCATGAGAAAATGTTGTTTCTGGAGACAGCTAACCTTGACACTTCAGATAAAAGACACATTTGTCATTCACAGCAGCAGCCCTGAGGACAAAGACACACACAAGTCATTCCCTCCAGTGGACTTTCTGCTCGCTGACATTGACTTGATTTCACTTTCAAACCCTTTCATTTATCCAAACAACTCCTCCACCTTGCTTCTTTAATCACACCTCCATTGACAAAACACTAAATGGATTTTCAGAAACACAGTGCCCCTTCTACTGTTACCAACCGCAAATCAATGGCAGAGCTCAGCCGCGCTCGCCTGGGGCCCGAGTACACGGGTCTGTCAAGGAGAACCAATGATGGATGGCCCCTGGCAGGAGGTGATCTATAATTTATCACTGCAGTGTGTGAGTGTTAGACGGCTGAGACAAACAGAGAGAGAGCGAGAGACAAGGAGAGACAGAAACAGAGGGACGCTCACAGACGAAGAACAAGAAGATGAAGCTTCTCTTCATCTCAGAGATATTTTTCATCTTTTTTTTCTCAGGTGTGTTGCAGCATCACAGAGCGAGTCAGAGCTGCTGGAGGAAAACTCCACTTCTAAGATGAGTGATGTTACAGTATATGAGGCCCTACAGCCTGTGTGAGTATGTGTTTGTTACTCATAGACTGTATGAGAAGAGAACGTAGCTTTCAAGTGTAACTAAGGCCTTAAACTTTCTAAGCATTATTTCTAAGCATTATTTCTAACGGCCAGAAGGGGGCGACTCCGCTGATTTTATAAAAACGTCAAAAAAAACGTCAAAAAAAAACATCCATAAATTGTCTAGAACTCGATGACAAAATGACCCTAAGACCCTGAGTGCACATTCTCCTAACAAGTTCCTGGTCTCAATCCCTAAATGTAAATCTTCTCTAACACAGCAGGATGTTCATTTTTTAATTGTTTCAAGTTGATGATGAAGCAGGTAAGCTTTGAGGTTTGGCCAACTGCGGTTGAGAAGTTGCTACTTGGCGCCTTTGTTTAGCATTTGGTTGTACTAAAAGACAATCGGAGGAGGCAGCTGCTAATTTGTTCATGAAATACTGATGCACCTTGGCAACTAAGCAACTGCTAGCGTCAGATCGTAATCTAATTAGACGATACTCTAATGCTTATCTAGAATTAGATCACAATCTAGTGCTAAGCATTGGGTAAACTCGCCTCCCTTCTGCTCCACACTCTTCTGGTAACATCTGGCTCAAAACTTGGATTGGGGACGGCAAAACACCAAACTTCCTGCTTTAAAACGTAGCCAACAAACAAATGAGGGGAAAGTTTAATCGCTGAGTTTAATTCTTAAGATGTTTACACATATTCACGCCTGAAAATGTTAAGGCACACTTCCCCTGAAATCCCTGAAGTTTGGAGCAAGAGACTCAGGAGGTCCTCAGGAGGCATAGCATGCTGTAAAAAGAACCATTAAGAAGTGGTGGACAAAGCTACAGAGTCTTGACCATGAAAGCTCTTCTCTGAATCGGCGGTGAGGTAAACTAGCTTACAAATAATAAATTGGTGCGTCACTACAGATCTACTGGCATCAGTCGGGCCAAAAATATTTGTCTGTCGAACCGATGTTGAACCCATATACAGGTGCATCCCAACTTATTAGATACATGATGCCAAGCTGCATCCACACTTTACACATTATTGTTAACAAACGGAGTCAATTCAAGTAAAACAAGCTTATAATAATTGAAATGTAATGTAATTGTTCTTCTCTTTTCTGTTGCTGAATTCAACTAAGGTTAAGAGCGAATGTGTGGTTTCAGTAGAACGAGGCCTCTGACCCTTTAGGATAGCAAACCGAGATTTAGTTTCCTCCAGCAGGTCGATGAATCACCCCCACTGACCTCCCCTCACCCAGAATGCCCCTCCCTTCCCCCCGAAACCAAAAATTAAAAACACAAAAGCCCTGCAGTGGGTCCAAATGAAAATTAATTTTACCCGTGTTATTGACAAATGCACTCATTTTTATCTATTATTCAACTTTTAAGAAATAATTGATTTTCACCCAGGCTCCGTCTCCCCCATGCCCCCTTCTCCGTTACCATCAACGAGGTAAACAGAAGGAGGTCGGAGGTCAACAAGCCCTGAAGATGCTCATCATTCACACAGCAGTCAAACGTCAAAGGGCAAAGGGCGCTTAAAGTCATTACAAGGCTGCCTGCATTTATGTGTGTGCTGAGCTGGTGTTTTTTTTTTTCTTTTTACTTCACGATGTTCAGACACGCACACACCCACAGCGAGACACACCTCAGTCTGCGCTTGTCTCAAAATCTTGACAACTACTTCGGTTCCAGCCGAGCGTGGAGGATTGTCTCCCCATCTCTAAATAATAAAAATCCAAACGACAGCATGGCGGGGAGAAACTAAATATATTGGGAGGTGAAAAACAGAGCGGGGGTGAAGAAACAAAGAGAGAGAAAGAAGCATGAAATAATAAGCAGTTTAGGGAACAGGGGAGGAGGAGAAATTTACTGGGCATGAAGATGAAAAATTCATAGGCGGCTGCAGCAGACAAGACCCCCCATCAGGAAGTGAGTCGATGTCTGGCTGCAGATACAGTATGTGGGTCATCAGATGAGGAGGAGACGCCGCTGGATGACGGACGGAAAAGAAAAAACACTCAGGAGAGAAGGAACGCAAACACTCCCTTTTAATTCAGATGTTACTATTAATACTAAACCAGTGTCGAGAATCGGAGAATTAACTTTCTATTTTTTTTAAAGCACATCAACATGGCTACTTGCGTTCAACAATACTTAAATATCTCCACAAGTACTCAGTGGATTCATATCAAGTCTGGTGAAAACATTACCTGTCACCAGATAATAGTGTAAAGTCCATATGCATTAACATGTGGAATAATTTTCACCATTAATCAAGTCTTGTCACAAAATTTTGAAAATCCTTTTTTACTACTGACTAAAGTTTAAAAACCAGCTTCTTGATTTATTCAGTCTGAAATCCCCAAACTCTAGAATTTAATGTAATGAATCACAAAGAAAAGAAGACTTTTCCTTGTATTTAATCAGTCAGGACCAGCTTTAAAAAGCACTCACAGGATCAATCGAGTCATTGCCTTAATAACAGCTATTCATATTCTGCAGATCACTCATTCAATAATAGAGGAATTAAAGCTGCTGGACTTGGATGAAAAATCTATCTAAATCCAGAGCGTCACAAACTAGCGTCACCAAATCTAAAGGAAAGAACAAGAATAACTCCTGTCAGACGTCACGTAACACCTCAAAGTCCCACCTCATCGCTCTCTGCTGCACCTCAGGGCAGGAAGTCATACCAGCTCGAAAATAAACTTCAAACGATCCAACAGCTATCAAATCAACGACTCAGAACAAATAAACAGATAATAACCGATGTAATAATAGATGTGAAAATGTGGCTGATTATTTTTGATTGACAGTCCTTTAAAAGAAAACAGACCCTGTATCGATCTTTAGACAAAATGTCCATGGAGCGACTGTCTGACGCTCTCCACCATGTGTGCTGTCTCCATCAGGAGCAGGTCACACCCTGAAACTATTCCTGTCGCACACACACAGTGTTCAGTGTGATTAAAGCCACTGATCTGACAGCAACAATGCGATGGACCGACAGACCTTTGGTGCACCTCTGAGCACCGTCACCTTCTCTCACAGAACCTTCAGAGTAAACACAGGGATTGATGATTGTTCTCACCATCCACTGTAACTCCAACCTGACTCATGGAATAACACACAGCTTTGCAGTTCTTCACTTGTTAGAACCTTCTCACTTACATGGCGGATTCTTAAACCTCACAACGCCAATCCTGAATTTGAATTGCTCTAATTTGATCCTAAGATCTGGTATTATGCAAAGTACACTTTACCATATTTTTCGATGTGGTCCTAGCCCGTCAAACCCCAGAAAGTCATCCTCTCCGTCTTCTGCCTGCTCCACTTTTCAGAAAATGTGTGCTCATCCGGCCGTTTGGAGATTTTCCCTTTGTGACATCACAAAGGGCAGTAACCCCCCCCCTCCAGGTGGGTGACAATCCCTCAGCTAGGTGTTTGTTCTGCCCTCTGTGTCTGCCTTCACTGTACAATCATTTCAGAACTTACAGAAGAAGTCATACTCTCTTATTGGACATGAAGTTTTCCTTGGAAAAGTGCACGTGTGAAAAGACTATTTAGATAATAGATTCAATTTTTCTTTCTTTTCTGTCTGACATCCCAGCAATGTGTCTCAGGACCCCGCTGTGTTGACACCCATAGCTCACGAGAAAAATGACAGCACACACACATCAACACATTCCCAGTAGTACGCAATTGATTGACACAGAAAAACACCATCAGGAAAAGACTCTCACTGTTACTCCTCCCTGTGCAGAACACATTCTGCTGAGGGGTACTTTCAGTTGACCTGAACACACATGTGCACACTCACACACATACACAAATCAAAAGAAGAGCAGGATAAACTGAGGTCAGAGGTCAGAGAATGTCTTGTGTGCTGACCGTGGGAGTGCTGACCCCTCCTCAATGTGAGTGTGTGTGCGTGTTTTTGAGTGTGACAGCAAGTCTACTCCTTCAGACTGAAAAACAAACACCTGAGTGCACATGGCCGCCTCAAACATCTGTCCACTTTAATAACTCCCCCCCCCCCAAGCCTGACAGAGCAGGTCCACACTGTGCGTCTGTGTGAGGCGATGCGTATCGATGCGACTGCCACCGTTTGTCTGTGTTTTTGTCTTGACGAGAGAGCGAGAGAGAAGTGTACTCACGACAGTCCTGTTCGTCCGAGTCGTCCTCGCAGTCGTTGTCTCCGTCACACACCCAGGAGCGGCGGATGCATTTGCCGTTGTCGCAGTGGAAGTCCAGCGGAGAGCAGGTGGGAAGCACTGCAAACGAAACAAGACAGGATAACAAATCTGTCAGCGAAAAAAATCAAACAAACAGAGAAACAAAAAAAAACAGACAAACTGTGTCGCCAAAGGAGGGAGAGATGTCATGTGTGCCAAGCCTGTGAGATGTTGAAAAGCATTAAGATCTGATAAAACATTTGAACCTGACAACAAAGGTTGGATCTTATCAGAGCTCGAGAAATGTAAACCCTGTGGAATACCAGATCACCAAACATGATTATTTATTCATGTTTAAAATAAGAAAGTACTCCTAAAGACTGAACAACATGCTGCTAAATATCTGTGTTCTTCCACTTTGGAATGTGAATGGTTGCAAGTTAGATTGTTGGACATTTAAACTTTTCTGCCAAACATTAATAAATACAATCTCTACCTGTTGACCCCATAGAGGTAATTAAAATGAAGTATACTGTCGATCCAACACAGACATGTACAGGCTCTACAGTCAACACTTCCTTGTGGCCGCTGGCAGCAGCAGAGGTCAGAGTTTGAAGGAGAGAGTTCAAAAACAGAAGAGTTTTTTTTTTTTTTTCTCTGTTTAGTGTCAGCTGATCCCGGCCCGGGGAGCCTGATCCGGACCTGCATGTCCTCGTCTCTCCCACCTTCTCTACCCTGACACCGAGGGAGCAGCACCGAGCCCGGCTCAGCGCATTCCTCCTTAACTTCATATCCGCTTTAAGTGCAGCTACTTGCTATCTAAGCAGAGCCCGAATGACTGGCCCTTTGTCATCGGCAGACAGAGCTAATTTAATTACAGGCCCGAAAGGGACTGAGAGAGGAGGAGGAGGAGGAGGAGGAGGAGGAGGAGGAGGAGGAGGAGGAGGAGGGGGCAGCAGCAGCTCCTTATAGTGGACTCTAACTGGCCTGTCAATAGCAGATATGAAATATTGAGCGAGCATCGCAGACTTTATGAAAAATGGATGACGTCACGCTGCGAGTTAACCAGCGAGGCAGACAGGCGGGCGAGTCGGGGCTCAGTGAGTGAATTAAGTAAGAGTGTGTGAGTGTGTGTTTGGGTGTGGCTCTGGTCTCCTGGGGAAGTAAAGCCCCACTGACCCACATACCCCTGCTTGGATGCTACATTATTCAGAGAGAAACACAAAGAAAGAGAGAAACAAGAAAGCAGAACCCTCTCGCTTCCAACACGTCCCTCTATGTCTCCCCTTTATTCTCCTCTTCACCTTCTGACGAACCCTCTTTTTGGCTACTTTACATGACCACACTGGTGGCTCGGCTATATTAGCATAGTGCATTTCTGCAAAAAAGTGTTCTGTTATCCATTTATTTGCCTTTCTTCCAGGAAGCCATTGCCCTCTGTTCTTGATCAAAGTCGATGTTTGACTGCAACATTAAATCAGAATCAAGACGCTGGAAGAGTTGTGGAGGATGCATCTTTGTTAAAAAGCCTGATCATGACATCTCCTCTCAGTTCTCCCTCCTCTCTGTCAATGTCGAGATCTAAGTCTAAGTGAAACAAGGTTGGAGTTCAACATTAGCCAGAGCTGCTGCGTGAAGCTGTCAGCAGAGTCTTCACACCGTCTGAAATATTTTCACAGTGTCAAACTGAAAACAGTTTGAAGAATCTCTGACCGGGCGTCAGCAGATTTAACGGCCTCGACCGACAAAAAAATGCTGCTTCTCAACATTTCAATAAATAATTCAGCTTATCTGAAGAGAAAGTGAGCCCAGTGTTAACATGCACACACTCGCGCATACAAATACACACACGCAGACATAAGCAAACCGCCACAGGCTGCGCAGGCTAAATAAACACACGCTCGTCAGCAGGGCAGAATTGTTTAGGCACACAAATTGGGAGAGAGGCTAAATGTATGCAAATAACTACTCTCTCTCTCTCTCTCTCTCTCTCTCTCTTTAACACACACACACACACACACACACACACACACACACACACACACACACACACACACACACACACACACACACACACACACACACACACACACACACACACACCACACACACACGCACACGCACACACACACTCACACACACACACACACACACACACACACAGTGATGCAGTATGTGGGGCCTGTATTCTGGTATCAGGTGGATCAGCAGGGAGCATGCTGGGTAGGTTGATGAGGTCTCCGGGCGCTTTGATCCCTCTTATCACACTGATTCTGCTCAGCTCAGCTCTTCTCACTACCACTGCATTCCTCTGAGGCTCACACACACACACACAAAAACACAAACACACACATACACATTCATGAACACAAGAGCCTCCCTAACCTTAACTTTGTCCACTGCTCGTGTGTCGCATTCAAGGAAATCGCTCCGTAAGATGTCTTTTTCCTTCTCACCTACTGTCCCGCACCTGCCTCCATCCTACATCTCCCATCATGCTTTTCAGCATCAAAAGAAACCGAGGGGTCTGCGAGCTCGCCACGTTTAGGCTGACAACAATTTTAATGATGTCTATATTTGAACTCAAGAACGCTGACGGAAGTATGCCACAGCAAAATCCCATCAAAGCTGATGGTGTTACATTACACAAGCTGCTTGCGTCAGATGCATAACACATTGCATTCTGGTCCTTTTCCCGCTCCGCTGGCGTTCCATTAATTATGTCATATTGTCCCATCTTCTGGATCATATTCAGACATCAGCTGCAGTTGATACACATGCCGTTTATTTTTATTATGTCATGTAAATTGGCATTAAAAACTTCTGAAGTGCTCACAATCTGATTATACTTGTTCACTCAAAAAACCAAGATGTTTCCTTTCAGGTGAATCATTAACACATAACACAAACTTTTTCATTTCATCTCTAGTGGCCTACAGCTACACAAATAGACGGTTAAATCTGTGCGTTTCGCTTTTGGCAGAGAGGTCTCATGATGTCAAACATGGAGAGAGCAGAGTCGGGGGTTATCTGGAGGTGAAATGACGAGTTTGTGATAAACGAGAAGTCCCTCGTTAAAGCTCCTTGGATGAAACATTATTTCTAGAGTTGCAGACTCTTCTGACCTGCTGTGAGATTTCTCCAGCAGGTCCACCTCCAATTTTCTGATGGATCATCTGAGATAAGGCTGGATTACAAACACTAGACAGACCCAGTTCATTGACAGAGGTGTTGTGTTTGGTCTTTAAGCACCACAAACTCCAGTCCACTGCCTTACGTTTTAGGTGCTGAAGGTTTATGAAGAATATCTGTGTTGTAATCTGGGTGAGGAAGCCTTTTAGAGCTTTATCGTTTATATTTTAAAACGATAAGCCATTTGATTTATTTTTAAAGGGAAGGATACTTCAATGGATTTTCACAGATTTCTGCAAGGACAAACTCAAACATTGATACAATATCATCTCTTTTAAGACTTTTCTCTACTCAGTCCTCAGTACACAAAGTCTTCTTTCATCAAGGACCATGAAGGAGGAAGATAAAGTGAAAGAAAACAAGCATGCACTGTTGATCTGGTGCCAAGATGACCTGACGAAATCATGTGACATCAAGGAAACAGGCTAGCATGCTAACAATGCGGCAGTCAGTATGTCTTCCTTCTTAGATTTGATTCCGGTCCAAAGAGGTTTCTTTTCTTTTTTGTTCAAAGAAGGGAGACTGTTTTAAGGCACCCCTACTCAGTTTGCCAGATATGAGACCAGGTATTCAAACCAACAGGTTTTGCAGCGATGGAAGCGGGCAAGAGAACTGGTTCAGATATACGCAGATTAAAACGCCTCTTCATGTTTCTAATAAACTCCACGAGCAGAAACGTGGTCAAACCAGGATCAATATTGGAGAGAGGTTAGAACGCAGAGAGGTTTCAAGACTGATGCAGAGCTGATATTATCACAGATTACAACCTTTAAATAATGAGCCTTGTTGGTTTTTTAATTTCTATTGATTGTAACTTGTTCTAAGAGTACATACGTCCTACCAGCCTCGGCATATGTGTGTGCATGTGTTCAGCGTCTTTAAGAAGATGTGTGTGTGTGTGTGTCTTTAAGTGGCCTTGAGCAGCTGGGTTAATGGCCTCTCCTTATACAGAGCAGCTGAATCAAATGTCTCTAATGGGACCAATATATCTGCCTAAACGAAACTCATCACACCGGCCCAGCGGATGGGAGGATGGACACATGAGAGTGAGATGGAGAGAAAAAAAAAAAAAAAAAGAGAGAGAGTTGGTCACTGTGTTTGACTGAAAAACAGATGTGGACTCCAGAGAGAGAGGAGTCTTCAAGTGTAATGAAAAGATGTCCAGGGAGCTTTATATTTCAGTCCACAACTGGTGGGTTCACCTTCAGATTGCTGTCTTCTCCACGGGAAACAATCAAAAACTGTGGTTCATCTGTAGTGTGTTTCACTAACCTATGAGCCAATCCCTATTTTAAAACGTACAATGCTGTAGTGTTACAATGCTGGTTGCCCATACTAAACGTGGGCAAAGTTTTAAATCATGAAGTTAACGTATGTTGGAGTAATCCCAGGATCAGCCTGACGAGGGCGCTAAACGTCTTGCTCTGCAAATCAGGCAAAAGTTCACCGATAATAAGAATTTCATGCGACGGCTTCAAGCCTCTGTGTAAGCCGTTGGTAGCCCTGCAGACTTTGGCCACCCAGAAGGCTTCCATAGATCTGACTAATCAGAAGAAAGGGGGCACGTTGGGAGGAGGGGGGGTGGGGCCTTAAAGAGACAGCAGCTGAAACTATATATGCTGATGATGAAGCAGAGGGAGTAACTTGGACATGTGGCTGCAGGAGCTAGGGATTGAACCCCTGACCTTCTGGTTGAGTGAGGACAGACTCTACCAACTGAGCCACAGCGGCCCCAATTTATCTTGGACTCCAAGTGCTGCATATTAAATTAAGCTGCATCTACAGTGGTGGTAATTATTAAAATGACTAAAACAAACAATAAAAGCATGTGTCCAAAAACAACACACTTCCAAAAGAAGATCTGGTCATAACAGCATTGATGTAACTGAATAACTTTCCATGTGCAT